GTCTATACTAAAATTATTAGCCAGGTTAAATTTGCAGTGGCAAACAATTATCATATAATTCTTTTGGGTGACTTTAATGCAAGTATGGACAACTCTCGACTCGCGTCATGGGACAAAAATTTCTTTTGCAATCTACAGAACTTACATTTATTCAATTCGTGCGTCTTAAAATTTGACCAACTTCGTGTTAATCACCCAACATTCAAATCATATAATTCAACATCTCGGATTGATTATGTTTGGATCTCCATGGAAGCAGCTCTACATCTTTAGACTGTAAAACTATTGAAGTCTCCTCACAATTATCAGATCACATGATTGTCTTAATAAGAATAGAAAATTTTCTGGATATCAAAAACAACAACAGGAATATTCCAACTAAAACGGTCTTCGATTACAACAAGATGACTGATGATAGATAGACTCAATTTAGTAATAAAACTGATGCACTGGCAGATGCATGTATGCTTAGATCGTTAAATAACAATGTCTCATTTAATCAAAATAATTTGAATTTTTTTTAGGATCTGTTACAAGAATGCATCGTCAAAGTGGCGGATAAATGCATTCCATCACATAAATCTAAAGGGCATCATCAGCTTAACCGATCACCACTTTTATCATCACTTTATAAGAATCTAAAATTCATATACAAATTCAAAAAAACAGTGAAGACTACATGTCGCTCTTCAACTTTGCCTGGGGACTGGCAAAAACTGATCAGTCAATTTTACGATATATTACAAAGTTTTGATATTCCGTTTGTAGTAATACTACAAGACCCTCCTCTAGCACTGATACGGTCTCTAATGCCATATATTGATATTTCGTTAGCAGCTTCTTAATCAAAGCCAAACTCTACGAAAATGATCATAAACTCAAGTCAATCCAACTGGCTCTAGAAAAAAGACTTGAGAATTATCACTCTTTCCCATCCAAAATGATTGATTCCTTATTAAATCGTACTAAAAAAACAAAGATCTCTAGGAATAGTAAAGAAATAGCAATTATCACTATTTTTCGTTTGTGATGGTATTTTGGTATAAGGATTGTGATAAATACACCTGGTACAGGGTGTAAGTATGGTTCTATGACTTGAGCTTAAGGTAGGTATGACATGCATAACATTCGCCAAGTTGGTACTTGTTTTAAGAAGTTTGCCAGTAAAAGGATGATTGTCACCTAGATTCCAACCAAGTACGTAAGGGTTGGTTCAAGCTATTTTTATAGGAGGAGAAAAGTCAAAATAATAGTTTTTAATATGCGGCGTTTTTTATCTCAGTTCTTTTGAGGCGATATCAACAGTTAATAGGGTTTGTAGCCGATTAAACCAAGCAGGTTCACATCCAACCTGCGGAAAATTCTGATAAACCGTTAGATCAAAAAAGGTTAACATAGTATTACCATCCGATGTAGAAAGTTGTTCTGTAAAAATAAGCGACATCCTTCTTAAGTGTGTGTCAAGCTTTGGTATTCATTGAGTAGTATGAGTTGTATGGGAGTAGAACCTCCTTTTATGCAATGATAATCCACATTAGGAATTTGTGTGGAGAAATTTAAATGCTTCCATTCACACAGAACGTTAGTGATCTAATCGTTGGGTTTATTGCATTTAAGATATAGCCAATCAACAAGAGGAGATATATATAACCATTCCGCTTGTTGAAGTTGACGTATGCGGAGTTTTGTCGATTTTCCTAACAAATTTGTGTCATTGAGTGAATAGAGAAGTGCCTCACTCTGTGCTTCTAACTGCCTCGAATGGAAGTTAGAAAGGTTGTAAAAAAGGTGCGAGTGGATGATTGATGACGGAGTGGCCCGTGGTAAATTTAATTTCTTTTTCAAGAAGGAATGATACGGCGTTACAAGTTGGTCACATTGTAGAGAGGTAAATGCTGTTAATTGCGATTAGTATTCAATTCTTAGAATTACAACAGTATTAAAGATGTAAACCAATT